CTCCATCATCTCTCGAGGCACACAGTTAATGGCACACATCTACAGGTGTCACAGCATTTGCTCGGCTTCCCTCGGTTAATATGATGGAGGAGGAGGCACCCTGAGCAGCACGTCTGGACTGGCTGAGTGTCTCGAGGAAGGGCCTCTCCCTCTCAGGAGCAGGTTCCTCATCACCAAAATGAGGGGTCCAACCCAGATGACCTCAGACCTTCCAGCTCTAAAAACCATGCAGCAGGGCTGGCCCCGTGGCTTGGTGGTTGGGTGCGCGCGCTCCGCTGCTGGCTGCCTGGGTTCGGATCCCGGGCGCGCACCGACGCGCTGCTTCTCCGGCCATGCTGAGGCCGCGTCCCACATGCAGCAACTAGAATGAAGTGCAGCCATGACATACAACTATCTACTGGGGATTTGGGGGAAAATAAATAAATAAAATTATTAAAAACCATGCAGCAAACACACTAAAAGCTTGATACAAGTGCCTCTAGAACAGTCAAGTCTGCCCTTTGCCCAACATTCTGTCCTATTTAGTGACTGAAGCCTGGCATTTCACAAACTATCTAAATCCATCATGCTAAACTATCTAAATTTTCAAGATAAACCACCCAAGTTAGGGTAGACGATCACAAACAAATCTGACAATTTTCAGGCTAATGAGGCGTAGAATGAGGGGTAATCCCTACTCCTTTGAAAGGCAGATACTAAGACAAATAAGAAACGTCAACTTGAACACCTACTATGTGCTAGGCCCCTTGGAGGAAATTCCCATAAGCATCTGGTAGATGGATGGATAAAAAGAGACAAGGAGGACAGGAGGAGGAGGAGTTGGGAAGAAGACGAGAGGAGGGAATGGAAAAATAAATACATAAAGAAGGCAGAGAGGAAAGAAAGCATGGCCCTCTACTTCATTCAGCTCTGTGACTAATTTCAAACCTGGTTTTTGTGATGGTCAAATGCCCACTTCCAGAAGACTATATTCTATGGAGCAGATGGTTGGGGCTTTTCCCACAGAAAGGGTGCTGATTATTGGTGGCTGAATTACTAAATTGGCCCACAAAGGCCCATTTTAAATTACAATGTAGCTAACTATAGAATTAATAGCACTGGCCCACATTCTGGAAGCACAGGTCTACAGGTGCACAAATTATTTACATTTTTTTCTTGTTTATAGCATAAACTTCCTGTATTTCTGAACCTATCGATCAATGGCTCTCTGCTAGAACGGCCAGATCAGAGTCTGGGATGGGGCCAGTACTCCATATTTTAAAGCTGTACAAGTGATTCTGGATGTGCAGCAAAGATCGAGGAAGCCGCTGGTATGGAGCCCCTAAAAGAGCCACATGTGTGACAGAGCCTTCCCGGCGGTGGTGGTGGCGGGTCGCTGGAGGGCTTACTAAGTCAGAGGTGCTGATGGCTGAGGGACTGTAATGCATACAGCTGAGGCCCCTGCCATCAAACAGCAGAACCATTTCTTGTCAGGGGTGAAGCCAGGTTAGCCAGTAAATGTAAGGCAGCAGGTGCCAGGAGAAGGGCAGCACCTGGATTTAAGTGCCAGTTCTGAAATCTACTAGGGGCGTGACCCTGAGAGACTTTATTTAACCTATTGCACCTGAGCATCAGTGTTCTCAAGTGCAAAGTAGGGTTAACACATCATGACCTCATAGATAAATTTAGATAATTAAAATGTATGGGAAGCACTTGGAAAAATAAGTGACACACAACAGCAACTTCCTTCCCACTTGCTCCACGTAGGATGAAGCACTGAAGCCTCATACAGCTGGGCGAAAATCTCTAAACAGTTAAACGTTTTAGCTTCTTGAAGCTAAAAGAGAAAGAGTAAGTGCTGACTAAGTAAAACATGGGTCTCTCCAATGGGTCTCTTTTCTTGTGTCTCCATAGCCAAAAACAGCTAAAACAAAAGAACCTATCAACAAAGGGTTAAGTAGCTCTTAATTATCTAAACTTTTCTTCCTAAAAGTTTAGGAACCCAGATTTAACTTTAAGCACCTGAACTGCATCTATTTTAGACATGTTTAATTACCATAAACTATCCAGTTCTTCTCTCGGTAAGCATGCATGGGTCTCCCAGACAATGTTAGAAGACCAACAGGGAAACTCTTTAAAGTTAATTTTCTGCAAGGTGTATGTTCCCCTCAGAATTCCATTTCATCGAAACCGCCATTCTACCTGGGTTTCCCTGGTGTGCAGGAGCTGGCCTGGACACCACAGCCACAGCCACCCTGCATGCCAGCCATGGCTCTAAGTACTTCATATAGATCAACTCACCTAAGACTCACCATGACCCTCTGAGTAGGTACTATTATCATCACCCCCATTTTAAAGAGGAGGAAACTGAGGCACAGAGAGGTGAGGTAATTTGTCTCAGTCAGACCACTTGCAAGGGGCAGAGAGGTGGGATTCGACCCAAGGCCCATGCTCCTGCCATTCTCCACAGGATTCACTACAACTGCCTCTCAGCATGACAATTACAGCTGCCAACAGCACAGCCAAGAGAGGAGGTTTCATTTCAAAAGCACCTTTTCTCTGCATTCCCAGTATGTCCATCACACAGTGTTTCATTTATCCTGCCAACAACCCTAAAAAGCAAGCAGGAGACATACAATACCTACATTTCACATAGGATAAAACTAAAGTGGTATCAATGAAATGTTTTACAAACTCCTGTATGTCAAGCCAAACAACTAATTTTACTGTTTTTAATATCACAAGAAAGTCTTCTGAAGTTTTTCTATTTGAGTTTTTTAGTTGTGTGTGACTACCTTAAAAGACACCAACGGCACACATCCAGATGCTGTTAGTCAAAAGCAGGTTTTCTGTCTCAGACTAAGGCTTTCTCACTGATTCCTGTTTACAAAAACTACATCCATGTGGCTTACAACTTACTAGAATCCTAAATACTAACCAGATAAGCAATGCTCACTGAAAATAAGTTAAAAAATGTGTCCATATACTAGCTCTCTTAGAAAAATTAGGTTATCTTAAAATGTAGTAAGCATAAAACTTTATGACCTAATTGCAAAATAAAATATCATAAAAACACTTCTCTTGTGCACCTATTAATGTCTCTTCAGCTCCTACTGCACTTATGAATAAAGTATCTGACTATCTCTAAAGGACATGGGAGCCTACGGGGGAGATGTCAAGAGGTCCTAATTCTGTCAACAAGGAGCTTGTGACTCTCTGGGGACCATCAGCCAGCTCACCCTCAGGGGTCAGGCAGGTACAGGGTTGCTTAAGCAAGAAGAGTGGAGCAGACCACCACTCACAGCCTCTTTCAGCCCTCCCTGTGAGTTTCTGTTCAAATAAACTCCAAGCTATGCACTATTGCTTTGGTGCTAGAGGATACGGCATCAGAGGAACAAATAAAGGACGGGATCTGAAAAACATTCCTACACAACTCTGAAAACATTATCATAAAAAAATCACCTTAAAATGCAAGGTTTGATAAATAAGTTGTTCCCAACTATTAGAACATTCTTTCCATGTACTTTCTGGCTTTATAATCATAGGATGTTTTACCTTTTTGTACTTCTCACCTCTGATATTCTGCGATTCTGTGAAAAGATACCCAACAGGCCAAAGGTAGTTTTTCAAGTATGTACATATAATAGACAAAAATGAGCTAGTGAGCCTGAAGAAGCAATGAACAGCTCACTACAACTAATTTTAATTTGTAGTTCTAATGAATGACATAAACTTTTATAGGTATCAACAAAGCTCAGAGACGACTTAAATCCATTTCAGTGCTCATTTAGCAGCTTCAGCTGTGTGCAATTAAAGCATCAGCATTAAATGTTAGAGAATAAAATAATGAGACTTAAAAAATAATCTGTGCTTCAGTAAGCCATGGTAAGAGATTTCACGTGATTTTTTTTTTTTAAAGAACATGGTTTCTTAGGAATATCTTGCCAGTTCAAAGAATTAACTCAAGTTTGATATTTGTTTTTAGATATTGGTTTGTTTTGTTTTTGAATAAGAATTTTCTGAAAAGCAGAATACACTAAAAAACGCATTGTCTGAAAAACAGTCATGAAATAGCATATGGCATAAAGCAATCTGGTATATGGACCGATCATCACAGCTGACTGACCAGGTTTCAGTAGAAACAAAAGGACATTTCTGATTATGTTAAAAATACTGCTTGTTCTTAACTTATGCCTCAAATAAAGAAATAAAATATTAAAGGAGGGGAATTTTGGAAATGACATAACTTTCTTATCTTCTAGCCCTTACAATGGAATTAAAGAGCTAAACTTTTTCTCCCAACAATACTTGAGAATATAAAATGTAATCTGAGGTTGTAGAATGTGGCAGTTAAGACTAATAAATTCAAGTTGCCACTATTTCTGAAAGAAAGAGCAGTTAATCTGCGAAGGAAGGGTATGTGGTGATGGTGAGGGGTGTGTGGGAGGGGGAGTGGCAGAGGTATGAGGGAGGAGAGGAGGTGTATGTCCGGTGTGTGTGTGTGTGTGTGTGCGTGTGTGTGTGTGTGTGTGTGTGCGCGTGTGTGTGTGTGTGTGTGTGTGTG